AAATTGCGCTGGAGCGGTGTTACAACATCGTTTGGATTCGCGTTTTGAATGTAAAATATACTTTGAAAAGTGTGAAATGTGGGTTTCGTTTGGATAATTGGATCAACTCCCCCCCCGGGCTATTTGACTTGTGGTGAAAAAGCGCCTTATCACATTGGGCAAAAAGAGTTATGGTGAATGGGTGGTGATTGGTGAAGGCAATCTACCGTTAGAACGTTAAATGCTGTTTCAAAATTTTTACCAACTCTAATTTGCCCCTTCTCTACATCTCCAGTTTTGCTCTTTTTGAATTTATTGGGAGTGAGAACTCCAAGAAGATTTTTTGTTATTATTTATATTCACATTTATCCATGAAATACATTTAAAAATTATTTTAAAAGACAAAATTAAATTAAATGTAATTCAATTAAAAGGGTTTAAATTTCAGAGAATGGATCTAAATTAGTAATTGTCAACACGTCATAGATGCTTTCTTTTGTTTTTTTTTGACTTAAGTATATGTATCTTTTTATTAAAAGCAATTATGTTTAAAATACTGTTTGGTACAAAATATATACACTTATTTAGCGAGAATTTAAATCTTAATTCGCCAAAATTATAAAGGACTAATTTCTTCTGTTAGAAATAACCTTCGGATGATTTCCTAGCAGGTCATCGGGACATAGGATTTAATTTTTGGTTGGCTCTGGGCCAAAAAAAAAGTTATGGTCGGCTTTGAATCCCCTAACCACATTTTGGTAATTATGTTAACGAGGCAAAAGCTTTATGGCAAGGAATTGGCTAATAATTAATAGGAAAATTATTGTGTGATCCTAATAAAGAAATATGATTATGAAAAAAAAAATCTCATAACAAGTAATTACAAGTTTTGATATAGGATATGACAAGAAGATCCTTACTACTCATTGTTGTTAGAATTTGTAGTTATTATATTCTTTTCTCTTAGGATCTTAAATACTTTCTCTGTAATTGATTCCTTGTCATGTAAGCCTGCTTTATTTAATTGAATGTGACACGCTTCCTCTAATCCTTATTATAAGCTACCTTGTAGAAGTAATGTTTGTCATTATTATAGGTCACCAAGTGTACTGTTAGTTACGTTATTTCAAAATTGTCCCTATTTAAAGTTTGATGTAATTTTTCCTTTTCACTTCTCAAAATAAAATTCATGATTATAAAAAAGGATAAATTTAGAAAAATTTTATTTTCAAACAAATGTAATGATTTAACTATCTTTTTTTTTAAAAAAAAATTCTGATGAGATGGTTAGAATTGTCTTGTAATGGTTAGAATAGTAGATGTGGGCGGCAATATTTAAACACAAAGACGTCTCTCTGTTTAGAAAGTCTATTATTTTTAATTTTGTTGACGTGGCTTTCATTAAAGCTTAAGTTTGTTTCATAATCTCTTTTGTCATCAAGATAATTATTTGAATTATTATATTCCAAAATTTTAACTTCCGCCATTTACGCGCAAACATGCATAGTCTCTTTGGCGAGGCATGAACCTTTTAAATTCGTATGTGTCACTCTAATTAGTTACGCAATATTAGTTATGAGTTATGAATTTATGATATGTTAATTAAATTTTTTTTAAAAAGTGTGGTAGAATAATTTATTGGGTCAAATAATATGAATAAAAAGTATTTCTTAGAATGGATTTATTAATCAATAGATGTAGATGCACGGTTCAATTTAATTTTACCCTAATTTTTTTCTTGAGGTGTCTTGGATATCTTAGGGGTAGGACTCCGGTTAAAAAAACGAAAAAGCGTAGAGGGTAGGAGAATAATGTTGTTTTCCATATATTAAAAAATAGTCATATTGCCCATATTAGTTGGTCAGGACCAATGGGATTAGGTCTAGTAATAAAAAAGGTTGGTCAGAAAAAAATTTTATTAAAAAAAAAAAAGACAGAGAGATACAAATGGACTAATGTTATTTCTTATCCCTGTAAAAGATTAAATTACTATTTTAACCAACCACCTTGATTGTTTACAGATGTATGTGCTTTTCATACAAGTTGAGTCGTAAACTAAAATAGTGTGATAAATTATAAATCCTCCTCCAAAATTTATAAGTTCTTTAGAAATTAACAACTCAATTTATTCAAGATTTAATAAGTAAACATACCAACAAGCATTGATTTCGTAAGTTCTTTAGAACTAGGCCTAATTTTTTTTATGATTAGAAATATTTTCTTTGTTTTTATTCAGAATAAATTCGTTTAAATAAAGCAAACTATTTTAAAACACAAAAAAGGAGAATCAATCAAGCCCAAGCTTGAAGAATTTGATCATAGATGTTAGTTGTTAATTCTTCAACTGTGACGTAAAAGGTTAGTTTTTAATATTAAATTGGATTAATAGCATAATTTATCCCTGTCAGAATTGACTTAAATACTATAACAAAATGATTTGACATTAACTATGGATTTAACCATAATATAATGATCAAATTTATTTAGTCACGTCAAATAATTATTTAGTTATTTATTATTAAGATTATATTAGATTGAAAGTGATAGCGACAAAATCATTAATTTTTCTTTTGAGAGAATTACAATGAGGTCTCAGACAAGGAAAACAATTAAAAAATAAGTTCCAGAGGTTGTCATCTCTATTATAGGACTTGTTATTATATACTGTTAAGGTTGTTATTAGGACCTTTTGTTAATTATTTCTCTTCTGTGAGACTTGATTGTAATTCTTTTTTTCTTTTTGATTCGATTACAGTCAAACTCTTTTTAAAGACCGGCAAAAAAAAAAAAAGTGTTCGTAGTTCTTAAATCCAACATATCATTCAATAAGGGGAATCTATAAGTACTGTGTGACTTTTAAGCTTGTAAAAAGAAAAGTATTATTCTCCCTATCTATACGTTTATTTTTAATTTGAGGTGGATATAAACTAATTAATTAAAATGATTACATCAAGGCCAAACTTAATCAATTTATTAAACACAAAATAAAACTTGTTAAAAAGGTGTTTGGGAATAAATAAATATTTCTGATTTATTCATGATTTTGAAAAGTACTATGATTTTTTTTGGATTTTTGTTAATATAATATTTAAAATATAGATGACAAGTTAAAATAACAATAGAAAGAGTAGGAAAATTTGGCAAATTTTAATTTAATATTTCATTTTTGTACTCGCGGCCTAGGAAAAGTGAATAATATAGATATCATACCAAATGAATATTTTTAGTGGGTGAGGAAAGTTATATATGCTATGTTTTAAATTTTTTAAATTTGAAATTTAATATATATAAATAGGAAATTATATCATGACTGAAAATTATGAAAATTTTTAAGTAATTTAATATTTCAGAATTAATATGAAATCATATTTATTTGGGAAAAATGAATGAAAATATGGTGATATTGTGTACCTAAATAAATAATAGATTTATTAATACGCCATGAAAGCTATATGATTTGTAACAAAGTTAGTACAACTTTTGGTTCTGTAAGTTTACTTTCATTTTAGTTTTAGTCTTTCATGTTTATTTTTATTTAAAATATTAATTCTTGTAATCTAATAAAAATTTGGATCATTTTATCCTTTCAGGAACCAAAATTTATAGTTTGAAAATTGAAAAACCAAAATCAAAATAAAGACAAATTTAAGATATCAAAGATTACATTAACCCTTTATAGTATTTATAAAAGAAAATCGTGTGTGTGAAAAAAAAATAGTTTTTTTTTTATTATAATACTCTAGACACCCACTTGGAATTATTTTATTAATCCATGTGGCTGTCTAACAGGTTACTTTTCGCCGGTTATATATGGTAGAGGTATGATTGCCATTATTCCCAGCTTTGTTAAAAATGATTATCAAATTGGCTTTTCAATTTTACATATGATAATTACAACAAGCAACCAAGAAGATTTTAGTTCATGGTCCAAAAAAAAACCAAGCAAATTTTATGTATGATAGCATCCGTGCCCCAAGAGTGGCTTATCAGATAGCCAAAACTGCAAGATTCAATATCTTGTCCCTTTGAATTGCTTTCAATCTTGACATTATATTTCCAAAGGGGTAATTCTGAAACTACAATAAAAGCCTAACATGTTACAAGCTTACACAAATTGCGAAAAATGGAAGTTGAGCTCATCAGTTGTCGCATATATCACAAGGCATCAAGCAACCTTATAGAATCAATAATGAAATGATGAAAGTTTGAAAAAAAAATCCAAAATATGCTGATCAAAACTCAGATTGATGCCAGAAGCCTGTAATAGCCCCATGCCACATCATACGATCTGTTTGAATTAGCTGTGTAAAAAAAACTAAAAAAAACTTATTTTCAATGCAACTTTTTAAAAAATAAGATCGGATGAAAATTAGATTGGGTAATACGATTTGTATTTAAATTGACTTTTATAAAAGTTAGTTTGTAAAGTTAAAAAAATTGTTTGACTTATAAGGACATACTCATCTTATCTTATTTATAAAATACTTTTAATATATTTCACAGTATTAATTCATTTTTAAAATATAATAATTTTCTAACTTTATTCCTATTTATTTAATATATACACTTCAAAATTAATCATTTACACTATAATAAATGAAGGATAAAATAACATATTCATATTAAAAATTTAAACAGGTGACTTATAAATAAGGTCAAAAAAAACTTTATCTTCTTGACTTATAAGATCATAGGAGTATTTGAAATCAAAAGTGTATTCGTAACCTATTTATTATTTTTAATTAATTTTAACTAATTTTTTATTATTCATAAATTAGTTATTTTAATCTTATAATAAGAATTAGAAGGAGCAAAAATCCTTAAAGGTGAAACCCAACTTTTTTTTTCCCCTTAACTTCTCTCCACCTTTTAACACTCACGAGCATAAGTAACAAATTTTTACTTTTGACTTATCCTTGGCTTTTGATGGGAAAGTACAAACAACTAGAGTTTATCAATCGCACGATTTCTCGTTTATATCGCACGATTACCTCCCTCCCAAAACGCCCTGACAAACAGGCTCATAGCAGATTCAGAGACTTGTAATTATCAGCTGCTCTTGATAAGGATTGCATTGAAACCGGGTACCCCGGTCCCATCTGCAACATTACCATTCAACTGAATCACTAGAAAGAAAGAAAACAGCAATAAAATTTTTTCCCAAAAAAAAGGTACAAATAACAAAAATACAGGTTTTTGTTATTCTCATCAACTTTCTTCACTTTAATGGAACTTATCACGATGGCAACAGGAGATAAACCGATGGACTTCAAACGAATGAATTGTTTGCTGATGTATGGAGTTTAAAATATGACTATGTGTTTCCAGGCAAAAGGAGCCTACGTACTAGTACCAGTTAGAATGAAATAGTATACAACTTTAAATCGACAATATACAGCATATAAAAATGAAAATAAGGCAAAGGTTTATAAGCTTACCGTGCTGCTCATATGGACAGATAGGACACCCAGCATATTTTGAAGCTGAACAGCAAATATGACATACGAGATCAATAGATAGAAGTCAACTTAGAACATACACTTGGTAATCATATAGAAACATAAACAATAATGGCAGTACCAAACTAATATTGGTCCCTGCCAATGCAGTCTTTTAATTTAATTTAAAAAAGGACGGTGGGGAAGAGTCACTCAAGCTATTTGAGCCACTAAGACTCTTGCCTTCGTGGAAAGGATGAGCTTCCGTTTTGAAATTTAAACGCAAGTCAAATTCTAGATGTTTTGGGACTCAAAACAGTTACAAGGAAAACAGAGCTGCTCTAAATGATAGCAAACCTTATGGAATAATAATTTACTATAGATGTCACAGGTTGTAGATAAGGTCTTTAAGACAGACCCCAAACGAAAGTCTTCATAAGTTGACTCCCAAACCAAAAGGCACTTGCCAAAGTTCAAGCAAGATCAAGTACAATATTAAGCCAGATTGAGCCACTTGCCAATCAAAGCCTTAGGAAGAGGGATATGGGGGTGCAGTTAAATATGCCCAGATATTTAAACTTTAACAAGGAAAACTGTGCCACTTACTCTTCTTTAAGCCAGCAGGCTTGGCAGCCAAGAGAGCATTCATGAATGCACCTATGCTTCCACGTAACTGATTCTCTCTGAAGCTTATCTGTGGATATCACTGTGAGTATATGACAGATTACATGTAATGCATAACATAAGTATTATTGTACGACGTCTATCATGAGCCCGAAGAAAAAATTGTACCTTTCCAATTCCCGCATGCACAATTGACTTACTCTCCATTTTAAAGTCCACACGACCCTGTCTTAGCTCATTCAGCTGCCCAGGAATATCACTGGTCAGAGTACCTAGCTGCAGAAAGTATTGATACAGCCAACAAGGGTTAAAGGTGTTTAATTTATTAATTTTCAAGCAGTAGCTTGCCTTGCAATACAAATAAAAAAAAGTGTACAATTTACATTTCAACCACCCCAAAAAACAAAAAAACAAAAAAGAAAAAGAAAAGAACAACGCAAAGTACAAAGAAGTGTTGAGGAGCTTACTTTCTTGTCTGGCATCAGTCTACGTTTTCTAAGATATTGTGCTATCTGCAAAATAGTTCACGTAAGCTCTAGAAAAAAGCAAACATTGATTTAGATTTTACAGGTATACAACCATTATAATTACAAAGTACCTTTCCAAGATGAGGTGCCATTCCTGGAGTTGAGAAGCACTTGTCAACTCTACGCTTGTTATTACCATCTATAGAAGCACATGATCAATAATACTTTAGATTTTTGGATAGAAAAATAATTAATGCATTAAATTGTACTTGAGCGGTTGCATATTCTTAGCATCAAAAGAACAAGTTACAAATAGTAAGTCGATCAATCAAGATTAGCATCTCCCCTACATTATCAGTATTAGTCAACACATTCCTTGAACTAAGCAAACAACCACTCAACAAAAATATTGTCATGTATTTTCCTTAATGGGCACAACATCCTAGTTGATCCTTGTGTATGTAGCAGAAATAACTTGTAAATTCAATTTTATAAGATTTAGTATGGTAAAAAATGAATCAATGTGAGGGTCAAAATTGTAAGGAAAAAGGGAATAGTTCATTACTAGCAATCTCCTCAATAAGCTCTTTACCCCCAACTATATCAGCTCCTGCAGCTCTAGCTTCCTCCGCATCAGCTCCTGCTGCAAAAACAGCCACACTGACGGCCTGGAAACCGTGTGTAATTAGGTGACATAACTACAACTATATGAATAAATAAACAACCATAAATTACCTTAGGCGTGCCATGAGGCAGAATCATAGTACCACGAACTGCCTGCCAAAAAGTTGAAATTGTAATCTCATAATGAAATATGAGCAACAAAATAACACCTAATAAAGCTTGCAGCAGGTGAGTACAAAATGTTACAGAAGAGATAACAACGAAACTTTTGCTGATGAGGTTTGGAGGCATTAATGGGAAAAACTTCCCAAAATGATTCATTCCACAAAAAATGAATAATAAATTCAAAACAAACGGCCATCAGAACTTCCAAAAAAACGATGTTGTGAAAAGATTTTACTGTTACTTATCAACAGAATGGCCTAATAAAATAGGTCATACAGACTCTATGACTGTCAATTCAAAAAGGAAAAGTAACGATAAAAGCGGATTGGATCAAGGCATTTCGGTCATTATAGACAATACAAAGTCTTCTCGCGCATAGCAGCTAGACAGCATGACATGATACTTACAAATTCACATTCAGTTGAAAGAACCATAAAATACTAATTTTTCAAAACATATCGCTCCCAACTTCAGAGGAAGCCAAAAAGAGTCTACAACCTGTTAAATATGTCAAAGCTGCCTTGCCTAAGAGGTATCTATACCAAACTCTGATTTTACATCGTATTATACAATGAAGCAAAACTGAATAATAAAATTTTAAGATATATTGGCATATACCTGTTCTGTTCGTTTTGATTCAATACCCAATCTTACATGCACCTCGACGGTTTCATCAAATTTTGCCTTTGCGTTGGCCTGAACAACAATCAAAGATATCAATTGAGGTCACCAATGATCAACTTCAAATCAACAACCGAGAAAAAAAAAAAAAAGCGGATTATCGCCATGAATGTCAAATGCTCCTGAACAATATATATATATATAATGGAAGTATAAAATCCGCAAAAATTTGGAACTGAAAAAAAAACACAAAAAACAAAAACAGAATGAATCACTCATTATTAAGAAGATACACACAAAAAAGTTGACAACTTTGTTTTTTTAATTCTCTTACATATTTCCTGTCATGTAGTATTAGCTATTATTAAAAAGATGCTGTGATTTTTTTTTTTGGGTTATGGCTCATATTTTGTTATTTTGTTTTCCAAACAAAACTCATTCTCCATTCCTCTCATTATTTTGCTTTCCTAGGCCTTCATCTCTAGAATAGCACATGCTGGAAACCCCACAGATGTTGCTTTTCAGGATTTAGGGTTTCTCTCCTGCAACATGAATCATATCCACCTCCCAAATCCCTTTGAAGAATTCATTTAATTTCATCAATAGTATCCCTATCCAAAACCTTAATATTACCATTGCCATTAATCTTCACCAATCACCACTTATGTATATCTATATTACTTCTGGTCTTTAATATAAGAGTTAGCTAGAGATTCAATTTGCTCTTAAATATAAGACCATAATCTACTTTATCTCTTGCATTCAAGTAGTCACTATGATGATTACAAGAACTCTTTCAATATACATTATTAATAAAAATATTTTAGAAAAGACAGTAGCTTTTTATTACAAATAACTATTTTAACTAATTTTTTTTAAGATTCGTGAATTAGTTATCTAATTCTTGTATAAAGGACCAGAGATAGTATTTTTTTCCACCCCATCTTCTTTTGATTTCTAGTACTTCTTCTCTTTTCTGATTTCTCATATGTGTTTGACTTCATTTTTAGGGTCAATATCTACTTCCTCCATCCTTCATGTTCAAACTTAAGGGCTCTAAACAATTTTTTGTGTGTCCAACTCTATGAACTCTCCTATGAACTTATTCACAGCTCTGCTTCCTCTTCTCTATCTTCATGTTCACTTTGTTAAGGAAAGACGACAAGATAGATTGTGAACGATGCCCCCTAAATTTTACAATGTTTGATTTTGCACGTTTCTATGACTTTGATTTTGTTAAAGATGCATCTTGATGTCTAGCAATAAAAATGATGTCTATCAATTTTGAAGCAACTTCATCATTGAATCCATATACTATCTCAGGTCCTTAATATAAGTGTTAGTTTGACATTCAATTTAGTCTTAAATATAAAATCCTAATTCACTTTACCTCTTATATTTATCTCTTTTTAAAAAAAATAGACATTGTAGTAGTTGTACATGTTACAAGTTCAAAAAAATTCATGATAGGAGCTCTTGGAGAAGGAAGGATCAATGTATTTTGCAACTTCCAACTGTGGGAATCAAGTAAATAATATTTCTAACTATACTCTTATTCTATTCTTCCCTTTGAGACAGAGCAATGTGATTTTTCTTCTTCATTTTGGTGAGTTGCATTATGGTACGTTGAGTTACATATTGGAAGGGAGTAAGAGGTGAAGTTAATTATGGAAGATGTTAGTTGGAGGAATTTGTAGTTAGTTTGGAGAGGGATATTTTTGTTTTTGTAGTCTGATTGCTAATCTCTGATTTCCATAGGATTGGTTACGGTGAACAAGGGTTAGGAATGGTAGAGTGTGTGTAACATCCTGAGTTTTAGCAGGTTTTAATGACCTCTTTTAGTTGATTTTGAGGATAAATTAATGATTTAATGTTGATCTTGGTGTTTGGGTTGGAATTGAGGTATGTTGGAGGAATAGGTGAACAGACCCCTCTCAAGGTATGTTCGCCACGGCGAACCGGGAGTTCTAGGGGGGATTGTCTTTCGGGAAGGTTTGGCTGTGACGAAGTCATAGGGACGCCGCGGCGAAGTTGTTCAAGTGAGCGAGGTTTCCCTCTCGGGAAGGTCTTGTCTCAGCGAAGTTAGGGGTATGTCACGGCGAAGGTTTTCTGGGCGAGCGAGAGTTTCCTCTCAGGAAGTTTTCACCTCGGCGAATATTGGAGTTCGCTGCGGCGAAGTCAGGCTTTCAAGCGAGTAATCCCTCTCGGGATTAGTTCGCCGCGGCGAAAGGTGTCGAATCTATATAGTCGTGGGAGGGTCTGGTTCTACGAAAATTAGAAAATCTGAAGGAGGAGAGAGAAGCTCTGCTAGGGTTTCAGTGTTGTGGTTTGGGAAAGGTGTTTCTAAGGATCCATTACCTCAAGTAAGTGATTTTAACCTCTAATTTACTTTCTTTCTTGGAATTTCTGAGGATTTATGGTGAAACCCTAAAGTTTTTTAGGTTGTTATGAAATTGAGGTTTTTGACCAATTGTTTCGAGTTTAATTGATTGCTTTGGGTTAGTCTAAGTATTTAATCGGTGTAGTTTTCTTGGATTTGAAGAACTTGGAGTTTTTGAAATTAGGGTTTATGAGATTGGGAGGTTTGTGATTGAGGATGACGATGTGGAGATTGATTTGAGTTTTGTGATTTGGGTTATGTTAAGGAGGGTTAAATTGGATGTTTAATCGGTTTAGAATGTTGTTAAGACTTCAATTGTTCAAATGGGATGTTTGGGTGTTGAATTCCTATAGTGGGTCCTTGAGGTTTGAATCCTAAATTGATATTTGGAGAGGAATTAAGGTTTTAATGGATTTTTATGACCTTGAAGTATTGCCTTGGTGGTTAAACCCTTTTAAGTTGGGTAGAGTTTTGGTTGGAGATAGGAATTTTGTGTCCCCAATTGTTGTTTTGGCCACATTATTTGTTGAAAGCTAATACATAATGGTTGTGTGTTTGTGTGCTTGTGTAGACCGGTTGTGAGCCTTGTTGGTGCACGGGGCCGTATTGTCGGTTTGTTATTCCTTACTCAGGCGAGAGGTAACCACTTTCCAATTCTTTGTACATGCTTTTGTAGCACTGTGAGTGGATTTATGCTTTGTGCTTCGAGTAGCAACTGTGTTCAAAGTGTATGTTGTATATTGAAAAGGAAAACCGTTTTGTGAGGTTTAAATTGATATTGATTGAATTTGTAACTTGTGAAAGATAAGCCACTGAAAGAAGTTAATTGTGAAATGATTATTTACTCTTTGATTACGGTTTGAGCATGATGCATGAATTGGGAATTGGTGAGAGTTTCGATTGTTACTACCAAGTGGTAAGGCCTCCATTAATGCATGATGATTGGCTCTTTACGTCCCTCATAGTGAGGGATAGGCCTTTTGGCTCCATATGTCCCTCAGAGTGAGGGATAGGCCTTTTATGGCTCCTTACGTCCCCCATAGTGAGGGATAGGCCGGGTTCGGCTCTTGAAAATCCCCCAAAATGAGGGATATGGTTGATGGGATTACATCATTGCACTTGCATGACTTGTTGTGGCTATCATGTTATCATATTACTTGTGAACTGCCCCACTTGACACCTCACGAGCACCTATTTAGTAGTACCTTGAATTGGAAAGGTTGGTTACTGGGACGTTTGTCTCACCCCGTGGTTTATAATGTTTTCAGGTGAACTATTTTAATTGTTGATCTTATTGTAAACTGGAGGATATGTTATCTCCTTCTTTTGGTTGGCCGGAGGCCATTTCTAGTGCGTTGTGAAACTTTGATATACATTGTTAGAAACTAATTGGATGGGCTGATTTTGATATCTTTTGTTACCCGGGCCGGAGGCTCGGAGGCCCAGTGGTTGTTAAGGAATGATTTTAGTTGCATGCAACAGAGTTCGAGTTTGAACTGAGTTTAACTGTTAATTTCTAAAGTTATGAAATTTCTTTCTACTATGGTAGTTCATTTTAACAGCTTTTCTTTTCTACCATAGTAGTGAATTTTATGATGAGTTTATAATGTTTTGGAGGTTAAGGGTTTTACAGTGTGGGAGAGAAAATGAAACATGAATCAATGTATGATGCAGAAATATAAGTGGTTATGTTTTTACAGTTGAAAGTTGTGATCAGTTAGGAGTGTTAGGAATGGTGGAGTGTGGGAGAGAAAATGAAACATGAATCAATGTATGATGCAGAAATATAAGTGGTTATGTTTTTACAGTTGAAAGTTGTAATCAGTCAATAGATTGTTGCTAATTCCTATAGAAATGTTGTTATTATGCTTATGATGTTGCAGTTGAAAGTTATTATTTACTAATGAATTGTTGCTAATTTACTTACTAGATTTAATAATGTAGAGCTATTTAATGTTGTCCAGTTAATCAGAAACGCAATGACAGAAATATTATTTTACATGGTTACTTCTAAGTTAGTCATTTGAACACAGAAAATTAACTTATAATGAATTGTTTATCATAACTTGTCATTCGTCAAAAAAATATAAAAATTCTATCATTTTAACACAGAAAATTAACTTATGATGAATTGCTTATCGGAACTTGTTATTTGCCTTACTAAATTTGTCATTCGTCAAAGAAATCTAGAAATTCTGTCATTTGAACACAAAAAATTAACTTCCTATGAATTACTTATCAGAACTTGTTATTTGCCTTACTAAACTTGTCATTCGCCAAAGAAATATGAAAATTCTGTCATTTGAATACAAAAAATTAAATTTATATGAATTGCTTATTAGAACTTGTCATTTGCCTTACCAAATTTGTAATTTAAATATATGCATCCTAACTTATTATTATGCTGGCAGGGTTGAGAATTTCTTGGGACTGTTACAAGAAATGAATGAGGCTTTAATGACTTTTGGTAATGAATATGAGACAGTGAGCGTTAGAAAAGGTGATAAAGTAAGTGAGTGTCTAACTTATAAATGAGGTGATTTGTAAATAATATGTTTAGTGACAAGTAAACATTAAATGGAGAGATCATCCTAATATGTACTTGTCACTGAATATTGCAACAAATGATTGTTGTCAAAGCAATATTGGTTTTTTGTTATTTGCAATACCATTATTGTAATTTCCTATAGTAATATTATAATTGTAA